GAGTGCTCTGAGTCTGCCCCGCCCATTTGTGCTTGTGGGAGCCTCGGTGGCACAGTAGTTAAGGCTGCTGACTGAAAGGTCAGCAGTTCAAAACCTCCAGTGATTCCTGTAAAGACGACAGCCTAGGACACCTTAGGGCAGTTCTCTTCTGTCCTGGACCCGAGCCTCCAGCCTCCGGATAGCACCCGAGTGCTCTGAGTCTGCCCCGCCCGTTTGTGCTTGTGGGAGCCTCGGTGGCACAGTAGTTAAGGCTGCTGACTGAAAGGTCCGCAGTTCAAAACCTCCAGTGATTCCTGTAAAGACGACAGCCTAGGACACCTTAGGGCAGTTCTCTTCTGTCCTGCAGGGCCTCCAGGTCGGAATGGGGCCACCTCCCCAGCACCTAACATGTAGCTTCACCCCGGGGAAACTTCTGCCACCAGGTGGCACCAGAGGCGGCCTGTGGCTCTGCTGGGCAGCTTGTCCTCACCCAGGCAGGGCTTCACCTGCTGGCTGGGGGCTGCCTGATGTTGCATCTGGAGCTCCCAGAAGGCCGGCGCCATGGGCAAGGTCAGCGGGGCCACAGTGGGCTGTGGTGCCCACAGGTGCACAGCCGTTGCCCTGGGATGGCTGTTCATGGCTGTGTAACAGAACACCGGCCTGAGGCAGGCCTGAGACAAGCCGTCAGCTGGTGCCAGAAACCCAGCCAGAGCTTGGAGTCTCTGGGTGTTGCCGTCAGCTGTCGGCCAATGGTGGCTTTGCCGAGCATGCAGCAGGAAGGCAGGGGTTGTCCTCCAGCTCACTGACCTGCTTGCAGGTGCGGGTGGCCGGGCGCCCCTTCCCAGAGGCCCCACCTCTGTCCTTTATGAGTGCCTTTGCTGCCTGAGGCCACCCCAGTCGGGGGCAGACCTGCAGCTGTCACGGACTGGAGCTGTGCCCGTGTGGGAGTTGGCCACCGTGGTGCCCGTGATCCTCACATCCCAAGACATGGACGTCTAGGCCAGAGGGTCTGGTGTGCCCAAGAGCAGGGGTCCGTGGGGGCCAGGAACCTGAGCTGCTGTCCTCGTGCCCCACCCCTTACCCCTGGACAGAGTAGTCAGAACCGCCTCGTTCCAGGGCTCTGGGATGGCCCAGTGAGGAAGATGGCAGGGAGTGAGAGAAGGGGTCGGCCGGGTTGTGTTGGAGGAGGCCAAGAGCCAGATGGATGTGTTCCTGGCAGCAGGGCCCATCACGGTGGGAGGAGGAGTTCCTGGGGTCCTGTTTTGTCACACACAGGGACACATCGGCACGCAGCCCCCTGGCCCCCAAGATGCTGACACATCGAGATCCCGGATGTGGGTACATGGGCCTTCAGGGGCCCTGGGGCAGCGGTGGTGGGACTGCCTTAGGACTTTGAGGATCCTGCATACCCTCCCCGGAGGACAGCGAGGGCTCCAGCGGTGCACTGCCTTCCTGTTGCTGCCTGGGAAGTCACTGCGTGTAGAAAGGGTGCAGACCTAGCGATCATCAGAAGGTTCGTCCTCCACGTGCGTGTGTTTGGTTTCCCCCCATGTGTGACAGGTGTCTTTTTCTATGTCGTTAGGATGACTTGAAGCGCCGCTTAGACGAGTCACTGGAGGAGAACAGCAGCTTGAAATCCCTCCTGTTCAGCATGAGGAATGACGGGAAGGGCTCAGATGCCACTGCGGCGCTGAGTGTGCAGGTGGCCGGTGAGTCATGTCTGCTGGACAGCGTGGGGGCCGTGCCAGTCACATGATGGCAGGAGGCGGGAGCCGCAGTGCCGTGACCAGGGCGGGCTTGCTGCGAGCCAGCCACGGGACTCGAGAGGGAGGCTTCGGGGCTGTCACCGGTGCTGGGACAAGGTCAGGCTGTCCGGGGCTGCTAGTGGTTCCTGAAAGGGTGGGCTCTCCT